AGGAGCTGGTGGCTGGAATCCAGGGCTGGGGTGGGGGTGGCCAGGGGTGGCAAGAGGACAGAAGCTGGGTTAATGAAGTATGGATTGACTGGACTGGGAGCTGATAAGCTCTGGCATTGGGCTTTTCCTGAGCAGTGGCAGCAGAATCAATACTAATCCCTTGATCCCATTAGGGGCTTCTGCCGATCTTTGGGACAAAGTCTGGGTCTGCCTTCGAGGGACAACTGTCTGAGACTGGAGGGTAAAGCTGGGGAGATGGGGACACTGGCACCAGCTCCTAGAGAATGGGGGACTGCTTTTTATCCTAACACATACAGTGGAAGCTCTTTTAACTCGCTTTTCCTCCACTGACCTAGCACATCCACTAATGTTCTCCACTGCATCCCTAATGCAACTCACAGGTGTTCATGCAGGTGGGATGCCGGGGCTCCCCCTGGTCACTGGCCGGCTCATGCCCAATCACACCAGCTCACATCCCTTGGCCTGTTTACAATGGTCTTGTTTGCTGTTGTCACCACAGAAAATTACATAGACCCTGAGATATGGGCTGAAATGAAAGAAATGTGTGGTTTCCATGAAAACTATGTTGAATGTTCACCAAGAAACCAAAAAACTCCATAAGGTGAGTCTGGACAAAAAGTGAAGATGGATAGAAAAAGTCAAACGTTCTAAGGGCCTTACCCTATACACTTGAGTTGTTCACTACGTGACCTTCTGCTTTGGGTCACTTCACTGAAATCAACACTGGCGGGGACAGGCAGTGTGCTGTGGCACAGGCCAGGTCAGAAACCCTCAGCCCAGTGTCCCTGAGCCCATCGGTCCTCACTGGTAAAGCGGAATGCTACAGGCTAGCCAGACCTGCAAGGTTTGGATCTGGGGAAAGTGACTACATTGTTACATACCAGTGCAGATACAGCATCTCCTCCTGCTGAACTCTACAAGTTACTCATAGTAAGTTGAAATGTGCATGGTGTGTACACAGCATCTTCCCTTGAATGGACTCCTTTGATTCATCAAGTAGCTCCTGTTCCCTCTAACTGGGTAACATGGCCTTTACCACCCACCAGAGTGGCGTGGATGGTTTCTCATCTTGCTTATAACTGATGTCTGTCATACACACATCCGCAAGCACACAATTTCGGCAACATTACTAACTCATTACACATCGCCCTGAGTGATGTACAGGAGCTTCACATGGACTTTGTGTGGAAGGTAGAAGGTGCCAGAAGGCAGTCCCTGGCCCTCTCCCTCCCTGCTGCACTGCCCACAGAGTCCAGCACAGAGCTGCCCGCTACAGAAGCAGAATTAAAATGTGTTGCATGAAATTAAATAAGCCACCTCTTCAGGGACTAGGGGTGCTGATGAGGCTTTCCTCTGAACACCTGCAGACTCAGCAGGAAACTTTTCCACACGTTTGGAATAGCCAAGCTTGACGCCGACCTGGCACTCAGCCTGCTCGCCAGGCCTAACTGCTCCTGGCTTCCCAGAATGACCGACTTGGTCCCAGCCTTGGCAACATCATAGCCCTCCTATCTGGATCCCAGATGACTGCTGGTCCTCACGTATGACCCACAGCACTCTAATACCATTGGACAAATTCCTATAAGTAGAGTGCCTGGACATAGCCCATCTCCATGGCTTAGTGGCCCTTAAATAGTGACTGGGTTCTGTGGAAAGCTGTTCTGTGGCCCCTCTTGCCTTGCCTTTGGTCTTGCTCTCACTCACATTTTTCTCACATAGGCCATTTCTTCATCTTCCTGGAGGCTTATTGGTCTTAATCGCAAATTGCCAAAATGACAGAACTGAAACCATTAGAACTCTCCCAACACAGTCTCCGTATCTTACCATTGAAGACAGGGCCAAAGAGGGCAAGCTGTGGGACCCTGGTCCCCCAGTGGAGAGAGGGCCAGAGCATTGCCCTGCTGCCCAGTGCCCTACTCCTGGCCTCACACACTCTTTGTGCCTCAGCCTCACATGCACCACCCACTGTGGAATCACTGTGTCCAGGGGAAGGCTCTGAACTACATGGGAGGGTGGAAAGGCCTCCTTACATCTGCACTTGGTGAGGGACACGACTAATGATGTCAGGGTGTGAGTTGTCACCACAGTGGACCCTGAGTCCCCATACTCATCCACGTTGGCAGTTCCCTGTCAGGCCCCTTACTACGGCCACCCAATTCTCCTCAAACATCTCCTTCTCTTAACCTTGCCTCCCTCCCGCTCTGATTTTCTGGTGTGGCCAAGTCGTTCCTCCATTTTCTGTGTTGACTTTCCTTCTTATGCCAAGCAAGGCCAAAAGAGCAAGTTGGGTCTGTGGTGGATACTGCTGGCAGGGCTGAGCCACAACCACAGGCACCCCTGCCTTTCCTCCAGGGCCCAAGAGCAAGCAGCAGGCAGTCACCAGTGGTCACCATGGCAGGCTCATCTCAGATTTGGGCCTCAGATCTGGGAGTGGTAGAGGTACAACTTCCCCCCTCTGTCCCGCGGCCTCCATCCTGCTCAGATCCCCTGCCCTAAGCCCCCTGCCTCAGGTCCCCCCGACTATGTTAGCCCTCCCCTCCACAGGCTCTCTTGCCCTAAGCCCCCCTGGCCCAGGCCCTCCTACCACACACACCCCCAGTGCACCCTGCCCCAGGCCTGGTCCCCACATCCCACACATCCACCCCCTACTGACCAGCTGGCTTTCCCCAAGGCTGGGGGCTCTCTCTGTTCTGCTTAATAACTGCCTGGTAATTAGCTCCACAATTCTGCTAGTATGCTTATAATAGCCTCCATTAAAGTTATGGGGTTTTCAAGCCGTAATGGCTTCCAGAGTAATTAATGCACAACTGGGTTTATTGCTAAGTTTATTTTTAGAGCTTTTCACCCTCATTCCCCCTCCCTTCTCTTCATCGATGTTTTGACCAAAAAAGATGGGATAGGATCAGAACAGTTTCCTCGGCCCCCTTGCATCCTTACCTCCATCTGAATCCTTGCCCCTCTTCCTTCTGCTGCTCCAGCCCCCCAGGAGGAGCTGGGACCTTACAATGGAGGTAGTTTTGTGGAGGAGAGTGGCCCTTACGTGGCCCTCAGCCTGGCCCTGACCCAGACTCAGAAACTCTAGTGCCTGGAACCTCGCTTCCCATGCTCCTGAGGGCAGCCTAGAGCCAAAGGGCCTGTATTCATACCCAGCTCGCCCATGGCCTGATAATGACAATGGGGATACAACAGCACCCACCCCCCAGCACCGATGTTATTGTTAACAATAGCCTGTAAACTACAGGGTGGTTAAATAGGTGCCAAAGGTCAGGGGCTAAGGACAGAGAGGTTGCCCCCAGGAATGAGGTGGAAGAACAGGGAGGACAGCCAGGTAAATACAGGCGGACCACAGGGGCATGAGCCTCACCTTATCTTCTCCTTCCTAGAATAAGGACCTTCCCTCAGATGTAGATCATTTGAAAAGCTTCTTTGGGAGACGCTGAGAACCCAAAGGGAATATCCCGGCAGGCCTTGTCTCTGTCCTCTGTCAAGTGAGGCCTGAGAGGGCCCAGCCAGATGTGGTCTTGGCTCAGCTCTCCATAGCCCTGTCAGGCCTGGGGCTGGGTGGAGGTTGTTGCAGGTGGGGCATGAGGTCACACAGTTCATCACCTCAGTACCTGACACCCAGTCAGGCGTCCTAGGTGGGATCCTGGAAACCGTCACCCTGGGGCCATGGAAGAGGCATTTGTAGGAGACAGCACACATCTTCCAGGAATATTCCCCTTGCGCTGTGGCTCCCCCATGGGTCTCATCCAGTAACGTTCACCTGCAGCAGGCCAGTCATTTCCCTGCAGGGTGAGTTGGCCTTAGGGGAGGTGGGGCTGGGATGGGGCAGGGACAGGGAACAGGCCGGCCAGCTCAGGAAACCCTATGCTTTTTACTGGGAGACAACACCTGGTTCTTCCATGGATGACAACTCTATTTGGAGAGCGAAAAAGACAAGGAGAGGAAAACATAGTTTCCAAAACTGGGGTGGCCAGCATCCATCTCAGCCCTGGCTCTTGACACTGGGAAAAACGGAGAACATGCACTACCTGGGGCCAAGTGGGCACTGGCCTCTGAGGCCTCTATGGCACGTTGCTGGGTGTTGGGATGTAAGCACACCAGGGCCTGCCCAGGGTCACCCTCTCCCCCTACCCGCTACCCCATCTGCCTGGATAACACTCAGCACAGAAGTGAAAAGGAAGGTTGAGACAGAAAGACAGTCTCCACTGTGGTCACCAGAGCTCTTGGGGGAGCAATGCCCCAAGGAGGACCCTCTGCATAACTGAGAGGAAATTCAAGTTGCAGTCATCTGCATGGAGGGAGTGCTTCTCTTGGAGCCCCTGTGGCTGTGTATTGAGTGCTGTCTCCCCAGAATGTGGCAGTCCTGCTTGGACAACCTCCCCTTGCTGACACCAGGCCCCAGCGCCCAGGCTGCATCCCACCTACAGCAGGTGCTCCAGGAGAAGTCCCCACCGACGTCAATAAAAGCAGGGCCCTTGTAGCATTTCCACCCACGACCTGTCCCCAAAACATCTCTTGATTGTAGACTCCTTTATCCAGGTTATGAAAAACCTGAGCAGAATGTGGCCGTTTGCATAGCTAACATGTCTTGGGCACTATCTATGCATGCAGTGCCATCCTAAGCACTTTAAGGGTGTCCACTTATTTAATCTCAGATCAGCCTTGTGAAGCAGGCACCTGGAGTCATGAGAGAGGCTGTAACTTGACAAAGGGCTTACAACATGTTGGGGGCAGGGCAGTTGTGTCTGACGTCTGTACTCTTGACCTCTGCACGTGCACCCCACATGCCTGACTCTGGGAAGTGGGGAGCACCATGCACCGTGCCTGTGGGGGACAACACTCTTCACCCAGGCAGGCAGAGTGGGCTTTGGGAAGACAGCAGAGCATGGTGAAGACCCAACGCTGTGACCCCAGCCCTTCTGGGTGTCTGTCCCCCACCCAGGTCTCTGGCCATCCTCTTCTGCTCTCTCTTGCAGGTTTCTGCCTCGCAGGGCTCCTGACCTCGCCCCTGGACAGCCACCCCTTCTCAGACTTTGGCCAGTGGACTCCACAAACCTGCTTCCACAATGGGTGGGTTGTGAATGCTGGTAAGACCTGCTAGCCAACATTCGGCTCCTCTGCTCTCCCCACTCCTGGCCCGCCCAGCCCATTCCTGTTCTTTTCTCCCCTGTGCTCGCCTCTGTCTGCTGCTGCCCTGGGCCGCCCCTCTCCCGACCTTGCCGCTGCTCAGGTAACGAGGAACTGTGGGTCCAGCCAGCCTTGGAGATGCCGAAAAGACGGGACATCCTTGCAATCATCCTCATCGTGCTGCCCTGGACGCTGCTCGTCACTGTGTGGCATCAGAGCACCATCGCCCCACTGCTGGCAGCACACAAGGGTGAGCCCCCCCACCCACCCCAAGCCCTGGCCCTAGCCCTGGCCCCAGCCCTGGTCAGCCTTGGAAACAACAGTGACCAGCACTGCAGGGCTCTTATTTTCAGTCATTGAGTACCTAGAAGGGGCCAGAGGATGATCTAGGGCAATGACCATACACTTTGGGTATCTTGGCCCCTTTAGGGACATGGCACATATACACATGCTCACAGAGACATTTGTGGACAGCTCCGCACCCACTTCTAGGACCTGCAAGGACAGGGGCACTTGCAGTGCTGGCAGAGATGGTGGACAGCATTCCTGGCCTGTATTGTGTCTTAAAACCTTCCAGGGAGAATATATTGTTAGCCCCTCTTTTCTGGTTAGCCCCTGACCTAGTCCTATCTAGTGAAAACTTGCTTAGACAGAGGAAAAGTCTCATGAAGAACTGAGGTTAAAACCAGTTTCTTGTGACTGAATCCAGAGCTTTCTTCTGCTCCATCTTGCCTATGCCTCTCACACCAGGACTCCCTGCACCCCAAAATCTCCCATGGCTCCATGTCTGATATGCCCCCCACTCCTTAGTCTTCAGTGTCACAACCTCTTCTCCTCTCCTCCTCCCTCTCCTCCTGCACAAACTCAACACTCCAGGGCAGCAATTCTCCAACTGAAATGCACACCCATTACATGGGGAGTAAGAGAGACAGCAGGTCAAGGGCAGAGGCCTAAGGGTCTGCCCATGTTCCATAAGCCCAAGTGGTTGGAATGCAAGCAGGAGCTAAGAATCAGAGTCTAAAGCGGGCTGCTGCACCAGTTAAACCAGGTCCCACTCAGCCCCAATGATGCCAGAAGCTTCCACCAGGAAGGGCCAAGGTAAATATCCTTCAATCCCTACTGCCCAAAGCTGGGCACTTAATGCTTTTCCTCCTGACGTTTATCCTCTTCCCAACCCCATGCCCCCTTTGGCACTTATCATTTTAGAATTGTTATCCTGCAACCACACAATCCCAGAGGGATTAAAACCACTGTGTGTGAAGTGCCATGATATCATGTCGTTTCCATTCTTGGCAGAGGTCGCAGGCCAGAGCTGTCGAGCGGTTTTGCTAAGTACTGATGTTGCTTGAGGATGGGGAATTGGCAATTCTGTCTCCCCAGAGCATGCCAAGAGGGATTGAATGAAAGTGGTAGTGAAATAAAGTTAGGGTCACCAAGAGGCCTCCATGACTCAAAGGCTGCAGAAGCCCCAAAGCCAGAAGAATGAGTCACAGACGTGGAGAACCCTCCCAGGCACATGTCTGCCTGTTTGGGATTATTCCAGCAGCAGGAGATTGTTGCAAATGCTTCTAAATCTCCTGCTCAGACCTCAGTTTCCAAAACTTTATAGCCTGCAGGATAAATTAATCCTTAGCTCTATCCTGGTTGCAATCCAGCAACCCATCATCCCTCTTCACTCTATGTTGTTGCCTTTTCAGTTTGACCCAAAACTCCTCCAAAAAGCCCTTGCTCAGCTGCCTCTGTGCTAGTCTTCCCACCCCCTGCATCCACACCCCTCGGCCATCGTGCCCACGGCCCAGGTGCAGGCTCCTGTAGCCACTGCTGGGCCTTGGTGTGCCATCAGCCTGCGTGAGCTCCCTTGGAGCCAGGGCAATGTCTTGTGATTCATGGGTAGAGTCCAGCATCAGACCTCACTCAAGCACCCACATGCCCAGTCACAGTGGCAGGAGGAGAAGTGACAGAACAGCTGATGCACCATCACCCTTCAGCTGCACTTCAACCCTTCCTGTCACTGACAGCTCATTCCATGCCCCCCATCATCTGTAAAGCCGTGAGGAAGCAGGGCTGGCTACCGGCTGTCTATCCATGGGGAAATAATAACTGCCTGGCAGTGTTCTGAGCCCTGCTCGTGTATTGACTCATTAATCCACGTAGTAATTCAGTAAAGTAGATGCTATTATTAGCTCCATTTTACAGTTGCTAAAATGGAAGCACCAGAAACTAAGTAATGTACGGTCAGTAAGTGGCAGGGCTGGGCAGGGTCTGCGTCCAAACATTTCAATTCTTAGGTGTGTCCTTGACCACTTCCCCCTCTGCTGAGACTATATGGGACCATAAGGCCATGCAATCCTTCAGACAGACAGCTATAACTTGGACAGGGACTCATTAAAAACAATAATGCTAATGACCCTGATTTTTCCATTAATGGGACTGCTAGCTTCACATTGAGGAAAATGCCCAGGATGTAAGCTAAGAGTTGGAGCTTTAGATTGGGGCTGCCCCAGTTGGAGCAGAAGAAATGGATGAGCTACCTCTACCTGTGAGTGTTTGACCAAGCGCCAGGCCTATGCAGAGTTTCAACAGTGTCCTTCCTGGTGACCTGGGAAAGATAGGCAAACATTCACAGGATGCTCGGGTGGCTAGTCTCAGGTGCAGTTAGTCTCTGGGTGGCTGAATGAGTGTGTCCAGAAAGTACAGTTTAGGAATCTGATATCAAGCTAGCAGATGAGCTAAAACGGGTTTCTACCTTGTCCTTTTGTATGTGCAAAAGTGGAGCAGCATCTAAAAGCGGAAACAACAGGCTCGGTATTCAAAATTATCTGGACAACTGTGGGGAAAACCCACTGCAAGAAAATGGAGTAGTTGGGTGTTTCCTTCCGCTGCAAGATTCAGAGGTTCTCCCAAGAAAAGAGAGACCCTAAACTCTGGAGGAGTCATGACAGGTCAGGGCAAACAGACCTCAGACTCTTTCAGGTCCACAGCATGTGGTGGCCGGGGCCACATTAGCACTGCCCTCGGACAATGCAACCTGCACACCACTGAGGGTGGCAGTGCCCTATGCTCTGCCATCCTGGCCATGTGGGGCTCTGGCCAGGTGAGAGCTCTAAGGTGGTGAAGGTCTGGACACGTTGCATAAACCCAACAACTTTAGAAACTGAGGGGGCAGTCTTGGAATTTGCTCAGCTGCACTTAAAAAGCTAGAGAGCATTCAAATGTGAGGAGGAAGTGGTTTTTTACTTGTCATTCTGAGACTCAGAACCAGGAAAATCCCCAGGATTTTCCTTCACCATCAAAAAACCAAGTTATGAATCTGATGACATGCCTACGGGAGGGGCAGAGGAGCGGTCCATCTCGGCTGGGAAGGTGGCCTCTGCCCTGTGCCCAGCGCCCTCTCCTCCCCACACCGCCTATCTCCCGCCCCTGCAGATGATGGCAGTGACTCCCGGCGCGATGTGCCACCAGGGGCCGACCCCAGGGAGTACTGCGCGTCTGACCGCGACATCGTGGAAGTGGTGCGCACGGAGTACGTGTATACGCGGCCACCGCCGTGGTCCGACACCCTGCCCACCATCCACGTGGTGACGCCCACCTACAGCCGCCCGGTGCAGAAGGCCGAGCTGACGCGCATGGCCAACACGCTGCTGCACGTGCCCAACCTGCACTGGCTGGTGGTGGAGGACGCACCGCGCCGGACCCCGCTGACCGCGCGCCTGCTGCGCGACACCGGCCTCAACTACACGCACCTGCACGTGGAGACGCCCCGCAACTACAAGCTGCGTGGCGACGCCCGCGACCCGCGCATCCCTCGGGGCACCATGCAGCGCAACTTAGCCCTGCGCTGGCTGCGCGAGACCTTCCCGCGCAACTTCAGCCAGCCTGGCGTGGTGTACTTCGCCGACGACGACAACACCTACAGCCTGGAGCTCTTTGAGGAGGTGTGGGACTAGGGCAGAGGGTAAAGGAGGGGCTGGAGGGCCACAGCCTGGCAGGAATGGAGCCCCCCCCCAAATCTACCCCCACCCCTCCCACTGCACTCCTGCGAGGGGGCTTTGGGATCTGAACACACAGGGGAACCAGGGAATGGGGTGTAGGTGTAGGTCAGCATAGACTGCAGGGAAACATGAATGGAAACACCTTGCTGCAGGTCTCAGCCGCCCTCCCACCCACTGGTGCCCCCGTAAAGGGGGGAAAGTTGGTATGGGGTCTTCAGCCATTTTTCTGGCCTTAGAAGCATTGTCTGAATGAGGGCTTGGGGTCAGGGGTGGTTTGGGGAGAGGGGTCAGTCCACATGGCTACAAGAAACTCTGTGGGGGAATAGCTTGAGTGTTCTTGGGGTGTGTGGGCTATAGTATTTGAGGGGAGGGAATGGAGCCATTTCAAACGATTGGGGCATCCAAGGGAGAAAGCTGGCAGCAGGTCATGTAAAGAGGGGACCTTGCCCACAGTCCAAGGCAGGCTCCTCCCAGATGCCCAGGGGAGTTCGGGGAGTGCATCTGGATGCAGGCTGACCTGGTCTCCTGGCAGCGTCAGATGGCCTGTCTGCCTAGAGTTAATTAGTGATTTCACCTCCCATGGGGCAGGCTTTATTCCCCTCATCCCTCCCAGGCATCCTGATCCTGGATTCCCCACTTGCAGATGCGCAGCACCAGGAGGGTGTCCGTGTGGCCGGTGGCATTTGTCGGAGGCCTTCGGTATGAGGCCCCACGGGTCAACGGGGCGGGAAAGGTGGTCGGCTGGAAGACAGTGTTCGACCCCCACCGACCATTTGCAATAGACATGGCTGGATTTGCTGTCAACCTGCGGCTCATTCTACAGCGAAGTCAGGCTTACTTCAAACTGCGTGGTGTGAAGGGAGGCTACCAGGAAAGCAGCCTCCTCCGAGAACTTGTCACTCTCAATGACCTGGAACCCAAGGCAGCCAACTGCACCAAGGTAAGAACCTCAGGAGACCTGACAGCTGGAATGCAAGTATTTCCAAGCCCCTCCAAGCCCTCCCTACAGATTGGGGAGAGGGAGGTTAGAAATAAAGACCTCAAAACAGCCTTGCCAAGAACCAGCCTAGAGACCTGCTTTTCTAAAACACCCTCCCAGGAAGGCAGTTTATCAGCTGTCAGGCAGCCCTGCTAAAGTCAGGCAGGGCAGTGGGGCAGGGTGGAAATCCAGTGAGGCATAACTAGGAACTGCTTCCCCTCCTCAAAATAGCTGTGCTGCACAACCTCTCTGTCCTAAACACACAAGTGTGTGTGCACAATACAAACACACATGCACACCCAGGTAAAAACACCGACACGTGTGCACACACTGCTTCCAGTCTGCACTTCTTCATTTAGGGTGTTGGCCAAGCCAAAGGTTCCTGAAGAACATTCTAGAGATACCCCATCAAGAAATCCAAGGAAGGAGGAGAAGCAAGAGGACATCTTGCAATCTATTTGTCTATTTTCTGTAGCTGTAGACTACCTATTTCTGATAGATTTTTTTAAATAACTTTTTTTTTGTTTTTTTTTCTTTATTTATCTATACAAGCACTGGCTACAGTCAGAAGCGTGGGAGGGTGAGAGAATTCACCAGAGCCAGAGAGGGGAACAGAACAGGCAGACTGACGAAATACACTGCTGAGGGGAGCAATGGGCGTGGCAGGAGAGGTCTGCGCACCATGTGGGACCCTCGCCCGCCGCCGGGGATCGAACCGGCACTGCAGAGGCTGCGGGCAGCTTCGCAGCCCAGCGCTCAACCACTGCGCCACCAGGGGAGGCCCTGATAGATATTTTTAATACATCACACATACATACTGCAGGGATGAGGGGTATGTTGAAATAAAGAACAATGGAGGCATTTTTATGGCACAGGGCAGAATGGGAGGGGACAGGATAAATACTTGCACAGAATGGGAGGGAGCAGGGAGGTGGCCGGGGTCGAGGCCGGCCCCATGTCTTGTGTCTCTGGACACAGATCCTGGTCTGGCACACTCGGACAGAGAAACCGGTGCTGGTGAACGAGGGGAAAAAAGGCTTCACTGACCCCACTGTGGAGATCTGAGCCCCGGATGCAGGTATGGAGGGAACAAGGGTGGGCACGAGCTGAGCAGGGTGATGTAAATTCTGGTTTGGATGCAGAATAAATGTGGGAAGGCTGGTCTTTAATTGTGTGAGGTCAGGGCAAATTTGCAAGGTGGGAGAGGTGTAGTTGAAGTCCCCTTCACATTGTACTCTCTGACAGTTATCAGCTGGGGCCTGCCACCAGCCACCTTGGAAAACCACCTCCCAGACACCTCCTCATGACAACTCCTGTTCATTACCAGCATTACCAGTCTGGGCATGTCACCTGTCCCACTGCAAAGCATGCTGTCTTGCCCTGGGATTCCTCTGCAGTCTTGCCGCTGGGTCAGAAAGCCTCACCCCCTGCTTCCACCCCACTGAGCCTGTCTACATGTATCACGGAGACGGGGCAACACAGGGGTGAAAGCCCGGGCCCCCTGCCTGGTTCAGTTCCCAGGCCTGCCACTTTTTATTGTTTCTATCTCTATTCCTCAGTTTCCCTATAAAATGGGTTGTTGGGGGCACCAGTAACAGTCTGTGTCACATAAGCCTATGTAAATGTTGCTATTTTTTATTTGATACTTAAAAGCCGAAGCTGAAGTGGCCACAGGATCTGTTCTCTACATTTTAGGGGGAAAGCAATCATATTCAGAAAAGCTAAGTGAAGCGAATTGTGCCAGATGATTTTTCTGTGGGCTATTCTATGTTCTCGGCACAGAGGTGGGAGCTCAGACAGTGGACCACTCTGTCCCCTGGCCCCAGAGTTAAGCTGCAGCTTCAGTATCACATTTGCGCTGATACTGGGTGATTCAGAGCGTCATGTCTGTTTTCGTCCTCTAAACTTAGTGCCTCTGAGAACAGAGCCTCATTCCCTGCTTCCTGTCCTGACAGTTCACTGGAAGCAGTGGTCTTGCCACCCTTCTGTAAGAGATCCACAGGGTCCTGGGACATGGGTGGCCCAGGAGCTCCTGGGTGACCCCTGCTGGGGACTCAGGATTGAGTGGGTGGGCCCACATTTGCACACCCTCACCTGCCCCCCTGATGCCACCTGTTCCCCCTCTCCCCTTCACAGGAGTCTCCTTCTCAGCCCTGTTCCTGGCCTTCCATCCTCTCCCCGTGGCTAATGGTCCCTCCAAGGCAAACTCCTCCTAAGGAATCGCTGTCACCCTCCTTTAAATTCTGGGGGCTTCCGAGAGACCCCAGCCTGATGCCAGGACAAAGGACTGAGAGCTTAAAGCACAGAAATCCCAGACCTGTCATTCTCTTCCACCCAGTGTGGCCAGAGCCCAGCTGCCAGCCACGCCATGCCCGCCAGGCACGCCATGCTCACCAGTACTTCCTGCACCAACCAGGCCTGCAGGAGCAGACGCTGTGGGCAGCCAGGCCCAGATTGATGCCAGGCTGGGAGGGAGGTGAAAAGACCCCAACCGTCAAGTGGAGTGTGGCCCTCCCCGCCTCCCCATTCCTGGGGCCAGCACCACCACACAGGATACCCAGCAGGTAATCCTGAAGACCAGAGAGCACCCCACCCTCAGGCATCAGGAACACCCTACTCCCCTCCTCAGAGAGCTACTCCCAAGTAGACATACCTCTCTGGCTTTCCTCTGGTTTCTAATTCCAGAGCATAAGGCGACCACTCTGCATGAGGGAGCCTGGTCCTGCCAACAGGCCCCCCTGTACCTCAGGGTCTGGTGGGAGCAAGCCCCTCCTCTAACCCCATGTCCCGAGAGCCTGTTCTTCCAGCACAGGAAGGAGGTGGCCTTCAGCTAGCACAGGTCACGGACTGGCCTGGACTAAGATCTTGTGGGCACTGTCCACACACTGCCTTCCCACCTCCCACTGGGCCCCAGGGCCTCTGCCTGGACCGAGCCTAGGAAGGTCAGGTGCCCCCTTCCCAGAGCTCCCGTGAAACAGATGTCAGGGGCTCCAGGAACCCAGGTGGGTGAGGTGGACAGAGGCAGGAGGTTAGGGAAATTCCATGAGGAGCTCTTTCCTGACATGGTTTGGGGGCTTGGGGGAGGGGTTTTGGATTAATGAGGGATTTATGGAAAAGGGGCAGAGATCATTTGCATACTGAGGGGGAAGGAGGAGACCTGAGCACACAAGACAGCAAAGAAAATCTCACTGCTTCCTACAGTGAGAGCAGCCACCCCCTCCCACGTGTGTGCCATGGCCTTCCAGAAGGAAGACACTTCCCTGGCTTCCCAGCACCGGACTATTCCTGGGCTTTCTGACAGGTCGGCCCCTGGTGGCCAGCTTGCTCATGCTCCTGAAAGTTGGAAGCACAATTCCCTCCCAAGTGGAGGAAAAGGAAAGGCCTGACCCTACTGAAGAGGTGTTTATTTTTTAGCCGCTAACAGCCCCCACTCCATTTTAAACTGACAGGACCCGTCTGAGGACCCTAGAGAACCTGCTACTGGGTGGGTGGGACTCGGTCCAGCAACCTAACCTTCCAGAGTAGCATTGGCTGCCTGTTTTGAAATGGATTAAACTTCCCACACAGTATTCGTGAAACCCCCTGGGGGGTTTCAACCCTGAGAATCTGAGCCACGTGCAGGAGTGCAGGGCACTCCCTGACGTTACGCTTTCCCTGGCTGCTCTGGAAATCAACCGCTTGGGATTCGGTGGATGGGGGGAAGAGCAGGGGAGACGCACGCAGGGCCCGGCACACAGTGGATTTCTGCCCTGGCACCGCACTGCCTCACCTGCCCAACCCAGCCCTGAATGCCCACCCAGTTCAGCTTGGCTGGGCTTAGGCGTCTTCTTAGCCAAAAACCCAGGGCTCATTTTCAGGAAATTGATAACAAGCAGCAAAATGGGATATTGTCTCTCTTTTTTTTCTTTTTTCTTTTGGCAGATGCTAGTTGAGTTGTTTTCACCTAATATCCTCTCTTAGCTGCATGTGTATTTATTTATAATTATAACCCTGGTGGACGGCAGCTTTCATCTTTGTTGGGAATGAGTTTGTTGTAAGTCGGAGTTGGACTGTGGCTGTGGGACCATGATGACAATTTGTTTTCCAAGCCCGGTCTGTTCCCTGCTCCCACCATAAAGGATGAGGCTGGGGGCCCAGGGTCCTTAGGACAGAGAAATGAGCAAGGGTGGAGCCCGTGCAGCTTCACCATCTGGTCTGTTTTGATTTAACTGTATTTAATTTGTTTTCAAAATTAAAAGTCAAATATGGTTTTTAACAGTCCTAATCCTCATCAGCCCTGCCTTATTTTTTTCTCACTCATTGCTTTAACCATTCAACAAATATTCGTCAGTGCCTACTATGAGCGCTGTATTCTAGGAACACAGAGCAAGGAAAACCAAAGTGGGTGTCTTCACAGAGCCGACCTTCTTGTGAGAGAAAGTAGAACAATAAAGCACTCTAGAGTGTTCCACATGTGATCTGTCCTAAGAGAAGAATGGGGCACAGTGGGAGACAGGGGTGCTGCACTGAGGAGCTGACACCCGTCCAGCGTGCCCAGGAAGGTCCCCGTGACCAGGTGGCATCTGAGCATGCAGGTGCAGTTATCTGGGGCAGGCAGGGCAGTCCAGAGCAAAGTGCTCTCCCAGGAGGGGGCAGAAGGGCCACTGTGATGGCAGGTGGAGATGGGCTGAGACACGAGAGCAGGGGGAGGCACAGACCACCTTGGTCCCAGAAATCAGGGTAAAGCTTTTGGCTTCTGTGAGGTGGTAAGGAGCCTGGAGCTTGATGAAAGCACCAGGTGGGTAACAGGGGCCTGACCTTGGCCTGTGGCTAACGGCAGCACAGATGGAATCAGAGAAGTAACAGCAAGAGAGTTTGATTCAAATCTACTGCTTTATTGTGATTTAGGACAGCGAATCTGAGCCAAACCACTACCTCCAGAACAAGCATCTCAGATTAGCACAGGTAGCTGCAAAGGAAGGCTGCCTCTTCTCCCCATTGTCCGGTCACAGGGGTTGAGGGAGAGAGGACAAGCTGGAGGCAAGGCCTCAGGGCCCCATGGCCACAACAACCTACCCAGAGCTACCTGCCCTGCACACCTGCCCTTTCCCTCCCTGGGCCCTGCGGCGGCGGTTCCCTCTAGGAGCTACATTTCCTCCTTGCTGGATGCTTCTTCTCACTGAGTATAACTGGAAATACTCTCTAATTCAGGAAAATAAGTGGCAGTATTTCTGTTTCTCTTAGGCTTTAGCTTGTCATCCTGTCAAATGCAATTAGAGTGGGGATGAAAAAGAGAAAGCGTGTGTCTCTCAAACAGAAGTGATTCTAAAAACCCCAGAAGGCTCGGGGAGGGTGTGAGACACCCGACCCCCTGTTCCTCTACAAATGGTGACAGACCCACTATTTCAGAAACAAGGAAGGCCGTGAGGGACGTGGCCAAACCAGGTGAAAATATTCCGAGGAGCAGACCTGCGTTGGGCCCAACCAGACAGTGCCTTTGAGAGGGCCCCCGGCTTCAGTGCTTAGAGCTCCAAGTGACATCCCTACCCCAGAGGAGGCCCTCTGTCCTCAACCAAAAAAGCAGGGAAGTAGAAAAGGCTCTGTCAACAAGCGCCAGTCAAGAAGCCACTTGGGTCCCTCCCTTGCCATCTCACCTCTTCTTCAGCTCTCCCGGGCTTAGAGTCTTGAGCTAAAGCAGTGGATAGAGGTTAGTTAGCCCGTGGCTCCCTGAGGTTGCTACTAAAGGAAGCTCCCAAGGGGAGGGTCCAGAGAAGCAGCACCAGGCCTCTGGTCCAGGAAAAGAGGCCGCACTCCTGCATCCTGCCACCTGGGGGCGCTGGTGGTGGCGCTCAGTTAATGTACTGGTTTCGGCCAAGGTGGGGTGTCTCCGTGAACTGTATTATAGGGCCTGCCATCTTCTCCTCAAAAACAATGACCTGGGAGAGGGAAGAGGGCAGCTCATGAATGCAGCCCAGGTTTATCTTGTAGTCAGCTGAGGGGGCCTTCGGAGAAGCAGTGGGGAGCCAGGCTGGCAGACAGGCACCCATAACTCACCAGTGCTTAAGAGGACTACCCAAGGGGGTGACCAAAGTGTGTCCCCTCTGCTGCCCTTACTGGCTTTAACAGACATGACTAAGGGCAGCCCAGGGAAACATGTGACACCGGGGAGACAGGGACAAGAAGGGGGTCCCAAAGAAAAGAGAAAGAAGGGGCTGCAAGTACTCCCACCTGATTGATGCCTTGGTCCAACCAGGCACCTGGGAGGTAGAGGGTCTCCTGAGGTCCAATGTTCCAGTAGCGGCCAAGGTTTTGGCCGTTGACGAATACAACTCCCTTCTCCCAACCCTTTAAGCAGAATAGGAAAGCTGTTAATCAGCCTCAGAAGTCAGGAGTATAAAGTCACATAGGAAGACAAGACACAGGCCATGGCACCCTCACCGGCCTCCAAGAGACCCGTGTGAGCTGATATTTTGACAGGTGGGTGTTCCACCTCCCCTTCCCACTTGCCTCCCTGGCCGGGCATCAAGCTCAGACCGAACACGGGAGCCAGGAGCCTGGAAGCACCACCAGGTGTCTCCAGGGTTGTGAGCCCATGCCCCAGGCCCTTTCAGAGAGGACAAGGCACAGGTGGAGCACTGGGCACAGGGGGTTCCTACAGCAAGGCCTCTGAGAGGCAGATGGAGAATCCAGGCAGGGAAAGGTCACCAACCTCCAACTTCATGAAGGTGTCAGAGGGGGAAAGAGCGACTGACAAGGCACCCAGGAAGAAAGCAGGAAAGGTAGGAGCTTCGGGGACAGGGCTCCATGTCCCAGCAGTGAACCTACGGACAGAACGGAGGACATAAAGGGGAGGTGGGAACTATCTCAGACTGGGACTCTGTCCTGCATCTTACTGCAAAGATATCCCAAGTATCATAGCAGGAATTTAGAAAACCTAAATAAGGGGCCAGGAAAAAGACTAATTATACTAAAGTAAAAATCAAAATCAACAAGCAACTATAAACCAGAGACACACTCCAGGGAGATGGGAGAGGAGGAGGGAGTAGAGTTAAAATAAGGGGGGTGGGGTGGGAATTGTATGGGGACTCTAACCAAGATGAAAATGCGTACATTGTGCAAAAATGAAAAATTATGTAAAAAATATATAAAAAATAAATAAATAAAATTAAAAATGAATAAATAAAAATTAAAAAACAATAGATATCCCCAGTCCCCCAGCTGTTCACAAGGCACAGCAGTGGCCGCAGGGTGGTGGCACAGCCGTTCCCCAGGCTCCAGCACTTGGGCGCCCCTGCCTCACGAGTCCAGCTCTGGCTTGGAGTGGGAGGTGGCTCCTGTGAGTAGGAAGGCCCTGGCCAGGACAGTTCCCATGCCATCCCGGCCCTCGCTGCATATGACCCAGAAGTCACAAACAGCAGGTGGGGTGGGGGACCCACCTCTTAAAAAAGTTGTTTTTCATATCCAAGCTGTAGATTTTGAATTTTTTCAGGGGAGACTCATTCAGATACATATTTCCAATTATACCTGTGGGAGGAGGCAAGCAAACATGTGCAAGGTCATGACAAGGAGCCAGCTGACCTGGCACTGGCCAGGTTACCTATATGAAAACTTCTGGAACTTTCAAGTGAGGATTTGTCCAGAAGTACATACTCTTTCCACTTCCCTTGGCATGTAACCTTCCCAGAAATCCCAAAGGGGATGAGAATAAATAATACTGGCATTTGCCAGGCCCTAGGATCAGCAGGAAGGAATATCATGGAGGGCAAGGACAGAGCTGAGGATATCAGGGTTATAACAGTCTTGGCCTCTTTCTAAGAGTGGAACTCCTTTGGGGGGGCTGAGAATTCCAGCACAATAAAATGAAACCAAAGGGCAGAGAGCAAAGAAGTCACAGCAGTTTGCAGTTTGGCCTACTTCAAGGTCAGTTTCAGTGGGGTCCCACACTACACAGACCTAATAAGTCATCAGGAATCATCTACCTGGCCTTTTAAAAAAAGTATTTAGGGCTCCCTGATGGCCTATGGGCCTATGGGTTAAGTCTCAGGGCTATCACCACTGCAGCCTAAGTTCAGTGCCCAGCCAGGGAGCTGACCCAGCAGACCTCTCCTGTGTCACCCACTGCTCCCCTAAGCAGTGTATCTCAGTAGATCCACTTGCTTTGCTCCCCACTCTGTCTCTGGTCAATCCTTTCAGCCCCTGTACCACTGGCCTATACTCCAGTTCTTCTATGCAAAAAAAAAAAAAAAAGTGTTTAAATTGTGAACAGATGGCAATATTACTTGGGTATCTAAGTCTGAGGATACATGCACACTTCAATGGCGATTAATTCATGTCTTGGGCACAGGGTTGGTTATGCCAGGGCTCTGGATCACAGAGCTGATGCACTGTAGGGTGAGATCTAGATGAGCTGGGGGAATTGAAAAGGCTGTGGGGCATCTGAGGATGCTTAACTTGCAGGTACGGGGGAGCAGCAGGTGCAGGCATCTGGGGAGGAGGTCTAAGACTTACAGTACCCGGCAGAGGGTCTAGAGCAGACTTTGATCAGGAACCAGGCAGAGAGACTGGGAACAGCCTAAGGATGACCACCCCTTCCAGCCCCCACTAAAGATGGGCCTGGAGGGAAAGCTCCTGCATGTTGAGAAGCTGAGGCCCAGAGGGAAGGGAAAGGGAAGGAAGCCTGGACTCACTCGAAGCTACTCTAAGGCCCTTCTGGATCCGGGAAGCCCCAGGTAGAAGGGCCGCTCAGCTTCCCCAGCAGGGGAGGGAGGGACATGCTACTTTCTGCTGCAAGACGCCAAATGCCCACAAAACTTGCCAGGCCTCCAGTCTTCCTTACCACAGTGAGATTTATTTTGTCTGAGTTCATATTTCATAACTTACCTGAAACCACCCACATTTTGATAGACAGTTAAAGAGGAAGAGACCAATTTAAGCAAGAAGGTTTAGAAGACCAGGGCAAATAAAGTCATCAGCTGTCTGTTCCCAGGACCATGCCACTAGGAGCCTCGTATTCACAGTACACTCCATTGCCTCCTCCCACCACGATGAGGTCATCAGTGGTTCCAGTGGAGAGCAAGAAGAGAAATTCAGTTGGTGACCCAAGAGGGCAGGGTCCTATGCCTCTTCTGGATTTCTGGGAATCCTATTCCTTGCCCCTCATGCACCACCACCCTGAACAAGCAGCACTGTACCAAAGCAGACTGTAGCCCGGATCTGGAAAGGCTGGCCCCATGTCCCCTGTGTGTTACCACTGGCATGTGGATCACACACAGTGTTAACTGGGGAGGTGGTCAGAACCCAGCCAGGCCTCTCAGGTCCTCTCTTACCTCCCTCCAATGGACTCCATGATCCCCTCCCTCCAGTGGACCCCATGACCCCGACCTTGTCCCTCCAATGGACTTCATCACTCCCTCTCTCTATTGGGCTGCATGACCCTCTCCCTCCAATGGGCTCCAAGACTCAATTGCCTTCAAAGAGTCTCTATGATTGTACCCCGCTGCAGTCAGCTTCTAAGACCTACTGGTGTGTTATATGGAGAAGGGACAGTCGGACATGTGCTGAACATTAGCAGCTCTTCTTTCAACACGTGCTGGGACCCACCTTTACGCTGGTCATCGATATTGTCCCCATAGTTGACTCGCCCACGATTCTCCACCAAGATCCTCAGCATGGTATAACCCTGCCAGGAACATAGTGGTCGATGATGGTGCCGCTTACCCAA